CGAGCACCAGCTCCGGCTCCTGCCTCTGCCTGGAGCCCTGCCCCCACCCAACTCCCAGCTAGCCGCCAGGACTCCACTCGGGCACCAATGGCATCTACGAAGCCCTCCCTGTCCACCACGTGCCCCATCCCAGACCCCGGTTCAAGCTCAGCAGCCCCTTGGGGCTCCCACAGAACCCTTCGGGCACTGGTCGACCTCCCCAAAGCCCACATTACTCTGAGTTAGAGCTGCCGGTTTAAGGTCTCGCCTGGTTCCACTGGTTCTTTTTCCCCCTCTCCCCATTAACATACCGTGTTATTTATCAGCTGTGTGTGGGCCGGCCGTCACCCCCAGTTAGAGAAAGGTCAGCTCCTAAGCATACCGTTCACCCTTCTTGTTCACTGAAATATCCTGAGAGCCAAGAACAGCACCTGGCTGGTGGACGCAGCTCAGGGGGTGTTTGCTGAATAAAAGAGTCAATAATTCCCCTCACCGGGCTACCTGCCTCTTGAGACCAGGACCGGTCTTATCCCCAGAACCCAGCGTGACAGGCAGAGTAACTGCCCCCCACCCAGAAGAGGTCTTGTGTCCTAATCCCCGGAATCTGAGAATGTTACCTTGCACGAGGAAGGGGACTCTGCAGATGTGACTAAGAAGCTTGAGACAGGGAGACTGTCCGAGATTATCCAGGGGGATGTCACGGAATCACGGGGGTCCTTATGAGAGGGAGACCAGAGGGTCCGACCGAGAGCAGGCAAGGAAGCAGAGGCCAGAGCGCTGGGGTGAGAGAGGAGCTCGCCCTGCCCTTGCTGGCCCTGAAGACGGAGGGAAGGGAACCCGGGTCGAGGGATGCCAGGGGCGTCTAGAAGCTGGAAAATTCGAGAAAGGAGTCCTTCCCAGAAGGAATGCAGCCATTAACACCTTGACTTTAGCTCCCTTTGAAATCCATCTTGGACTTCTGACCTCCAGGATTGTTAGACAAGAAAGTTGTGTGGTTTCGAGCCACCAAGTCTGTGGGAATTTGTTGCAGATGCCACAGAGGAGGCGCTCCAGCGCCCAGGAGGGAGCACACAGGGCGGGAGAGGCAGTGAGAGTCAGTGGAGCAAATGCTGTGGGCCAGTGAAGAAAAATGTTACTTTTCATCTTGAAAATAATGTTAAACCATAAGAACAGCAAAGACATGTCTAAGCCATGAGCCAGGACGGTGGCAGTGGTTATGTGTGACTTTTCCTTTAAAGCAACTAACTTTGACTCAGAGAGGCTATGGTTTCCCTGTGCTGGTCAGTCTTACACTTCCTCTACTTAAGGCAGTTTTCTTAATCAAAGATAAATTTCCTCCACATACAACCCTAAAGCAAGATAGAACCAAAAGAAAAGAAAGAAACTGATTTAGCTCATGAAAACGGTCTGGGCTTCAGAAATGCACAATTAATTGCACTCAAAGCTCTCATGTGTTTGTGAGGGCCAGCTGGGGCACGGCCTGCAAGGACTTGCCTTCCCTAACACTCCAAAATGCTCCATCCCCAGAAATCTGCTTCTAATGCTGACACTTGAAGAAAGTGACGTGATGGAAAATCATTGAGGACATGGTTCTGTGTCCAACTGAAAATTCAACAGCCTGAATTATGGCACAAGGCTTTTCCATGTCTCATTTAGAAACAGGAAGAAAGCAACCTAAGGAACCATTTTTCCCCTAATGCCTGACACATAATTTTATTTTTTTATTTAATTTTATTTTTTTCAGTATTCCAAGAACCATTTTTTCTCAGCTCTTTGATTCCAATACCGCCACCCTGCCCACCAGGCCTAGCATTAGTGTCATCCTGGAAACTGAAAACCCACGAAGACTAGAAAATTGATCACTTTCAATGATCACTGATAAATTTTCATACAAAAAAAAAATCCTTTTCAATTAACAATACATCGGGAAAAAGTAAAATTATGAACAGAGCATATGACTGTTGTTTTACATGGGAAAGAAATCTTAAAATTTTAAATATCTAGAATCCATTCATACACACCTAGAATTTGTTTTTAGCCCCGTGGAAGTATGTATAAAACTGGAAAGTTTCAGAAGATCTCAAAATAGACTATCCAATAGTAATATGAAAAACTTCTTTTGTATAATACATACTATGTGTTTTATGAAAGGTGTCCTTCCTTGCTTTTTTCTTTCCAGTACCGTCTTATGGGACATAATGAGAGAATCCACACAGGAAGGCCACAGCATGCTCCAGCTTATGTAACAAAACATCTCTGGAGCAACTAGCACGTGAGCTATTCTAGTTGGAAGAGGACAAAATCCCCAGCACCCAGGTGCCCTCACGCAGTAAAGGAAGAGCACCATTCGAGGCCAATAGGTACCCTAGAGTTCACACTCAAGTGGCTTAAGCACGCTCATTAAGTAGACATAATCCCTCTACTGAAAAATTCCTAAGCCAGAGTCTAATTAGAGGGAAAAAAAAATCAAAACTGAAAACGAATTTCTCTAATAAAAACAGTTATCATGGGGTGTCTGGGGGGGGGGGCTCAGTCAGTTAAGCGTCTGCCTTAAGCTCAGGTCATGATCTCAGGGTCCTGGGATTGAGCCCCGCATCGGGCTCCCTGCTTGTTGGGAGTCTGTTTCTCCCTCGCCCTGCCCTCTCCTCTGCCTGCCACTACCTTCTGCTCGTGCTCACTCTTTCTCTCTCTCAAATAAATAAAATTTTAAAACAAAATAAAACAAAACCAAACAAAAAACCTACTTGTGTTTACATTTAAACGACGCGACAACTGAATTCAGAGGCATTCTTTCACACAGTGCAACCCCGTTGCCAAAGGAGTGGGTGTTTGCTGTCCGCCTGCCCCTGGTCCCTCCATCCATCCCCCATCCAGCAGGTCCCAGCAGCCCCAGGGAGCCAGGTGCTGGGCCAGGCACACGGATGATGACAAGGACACCGCTCTCGGCAAACACCTCCAAACACAGTTGCTCTAGACTGTGTTAAACACCAAGACTCCTCCTTGTCCTGTGTTTTCAGTAAAACACAAGATTCTCTCAAGAATCCCACCGTTTCCTGCTACCTCACTCACACAGCACCTGTTTACGCTGGTTGGTGTGGACGCTTCTCTGCGTCATCCCGTGTGGTGCTGTCAGCCTAACACCTCAAAGCACACTGAAGCTGAATCCCAAACCAACCCCCTCACGTGTCACCGCACTGTCTGTGATGCTCGATAAATCCCGGCCCTGAGCAGCGGCATATCACAGGAGCTGGCACCTTCCTGCAAGTCTCGAAAGGTTTTGGCAGGTACGAAATACGCAAAAAATTCTCCTGACACCAGTCCAACCACACCCTTCCTGACATGTCGGGTCCGGCTCAGGACTCATCAGGTCACAGCGCGGAGAAGCTGTTTCAGAAGAGATTTAGTAAGATGAGGCGAAGACCGCAGCCTAGTAACTACAAAAGGAAGCACGTTTATGAGTCTGTTCCCAACCAACGGGCAGAGGCCACTGTAGACCAAGACACCACGTCCCACGGTGGCACTGCTATCCAGACTCTCCTCGAGACAAACCACAACAACAGAGGAGCGTTTCTAGGACACGCGGTCCCAACATTCACCTAGACATGCTGAGTCTTGTCTGTGGATCATGAAGTCCAGAGTTGAACCAGAATGTACTAATTCCCCAGAGAATTACTTAGCCTGATTTCAGGCTTTGCATTGTGTTGTGGGTACATCTGTGGCGGACAGTTGCAGAGAGAGCTTGGGAAGTCTACTTCTGATTCATCAAAGGGATGCCACTGGGGACACAGCATTCAGGGGTCCTCATGGGAGAGACACATTAAGACATACCTTTCATTGTTCGTGCCAAGAAAACCTACTCCCTTTGCGAAGTTCATGGTTCCACATTTCCTTGTTTATGGTTATAAAATTCCATACCAAGTGCACAGTCAAACTGGCACGCCTCCCGTAAGACGCACCTCTGTGCAAACATAAGCCATCTGCCCCCAACAACCTTAGCTGCCCCCGATATATGTACATATATTACAGATAAAATATCATTTCATATTATAAAATGTCCCCCAAGCCCGCTCTGGGGCCCATAGCCCCTCCCTGTCTTCCTGTCCTCCACTGTAGCTGGTCACCACTGGACAGGCCCTGTGCCTCACTTGTTCGTTTCTGTTTCACCTTTTTCCCCACTAGACAGTGACCACGGTGATGGTTCTCTCCTGGAACCCCAGAAACACTGCTGGCAGGAGTGGGCACTTACTAAGTACTTCCTGAATGAATGATTCCAAGAACGGGCAGCTGTAAAACTCTACAGTCTGCACTTTAGCTCTCTCCATGAACTTAAACTCTGCCCACATCTGACGTGTTCACTGTTGTTGTTGTTGTTGTTTTTTAAGTATTTGTGGAAGCCAGGCCAAAGCTTTTGTAAAATGAAGAGATAGTAGAGAGAGGTACAGACAGAGAAAAAGGATGATGTCATTACCAACAACACTGCATTTTACAGCTGGTGAAGTCTCTGAGGGTAGAAGGGGAGGAAATGAGCCAAAGAGTTTAACTATCAATTAAGTCGAGTAACCTTTATTCAAAAACTCATCATTTTCTTCCCATCCGCTCAGGCATCGACCAGGTGATGCTGTGCAAATCACGAGGTCCATCCACAGAGAAGCCCTCCCAGCTTCTCCAGCTGCTCCCACAGTTCCCAGCCAAGGGCTGCTTTGCACGACAGACGTGTCCAAGTGTGTCCATATCTGCTTACTTTCACACCAGGATTCTTTGAAGGGAAATGAATGAAAGGCTTCCGGAATGTTAAAAAATCTATTGTATCTTTCCCCTAAAATATACCTCCACTTGTGGAACTGCTAAAGACACAGTCACATGATAACCAGAGGCAGAGGAAGAAAATGCATGAGCCTAAGCCAACCTCCTTCCAAACCCCCCTCCGGGAAATTCAGCCTTGATAACCTCCAGGGCAGGAGAGAGAGGGGTATATGGCAGTGTGGAGAAAGGATATTTAAGGTGCTGGGGAGGGCCCTTACCTGTTTCACGACTGTCACCGTGCCTGGAGCCATGGCGACCACAGAGGCCACAGCAGTGGCGTCACGGGCCTCGGTGCCCAGCTCGATGATTTGTTGGAAGATGTTCACGGCCGTGGGGTCAAGGCGGTCCCCTTACAAGGAAGAAGCAAACGGGACACCAGTAAGCCCGCAGGGGTTGGCGCACTGAGTGCAAAACCAGACCTTACTAGAGACCACTACGGGGTGTCGCCCACCCCGGGGCGGGGGAGCACAGATTCTCCAGTCACTCATTCCAACAGCACAGTAATTTGCATGGCACTTTTTGGCTTTAAAGAGGTTTTTATAGGAACATCTCTAAAGCCCAAATGATCCTATGAGGAGATGACATTGTGATATTACCCCCATTTCACAGACTGGTCACCTCTGCACAAAAAAGACAGGAGACTTGCCTGGGACCAGTTTTGGCACAAAGCCGGAGCTCAGACCCCAGAGTTCTGAACCCAAACTTGATGACCCAGGACTGCTTCTCAGGACAGAAGCCCTGAGAAGTACCAACAAACACACTAACCTGCACAGTTAGTGTCCTGTAAGCACAGGCCTGGGAGGTGGCCAATGAGAGCAGGCCCCATAACTTACACAAGCTACGGACTAAACACCCGGGGATGTCTCAATTATTAGAACCAGTGCAACTTAGAACTCCAAACCAATTGAAGCTCGGGGTTCCATTTTAATCATCTCAAACGATTAGAACCCACCGCCTCAGGCCAGCTACGGAGCCTGCCCTGCCGGGCCGGACCATCTGCCTGACCATCTGTGACTCTCTGGAACACGGCCCTCGGACCCTGGTCATTAATTTACTGAAAAGGGAACTCCTGTGTGATCTCTGTGTTAGCATAATATCACCAAGCCTCTGCCAATGTTTGCGTCCTTGTGGACCAGCTTTCCGCGGGCCACATTCCAACGCAAGTTGCTCAGGAAGAGACGGAGAAGGGGAGCGTGATGTGTTCCATGTAGCAGGGAGCGTGTGGCATGAGCCTCAGTAGAGGACGGTGTGAGTGCCTTGCATACCCTTCGTACCACTCTGGCATTGCCCTACACACACACACACACACATACACACTCGCCCTCTTTCTCTACTTAAGGGACGTACATCCACTGTGCCTTGTAGCCAACCACTCTGAACATCCGAAGACTAAACAAAACCTTTACCTTAAAAACATACTGAGCTGAGCAAGGTTTAATTCCTCCTGCACTGACCCCCCCGGGGGCCATTTGTGAAGCCTGTCATCAGGAGCGTGGCTCCCAGCGGGAATACAGAGATGTGCCTCCATCCAACACTCTCTCTCCTCCTCCAAGCAGGACTCAGGAGACAGATTTGTAAGCAAATTATTACCCACCAGGTTGGTCCCATCTCAGGAGGCCATCAGCGGAATGCTGCAGAGAAGTCAGCAATTAGGGGAACGCTGCAGAACAGTCAGCTGGGTCCCCGGCAGATGACATGCGATCTGAACGCCGAAGGTACAGGTGAGGTGGCCAGGAAAAGCGTGTAGGGGAAGGGAACAGACCGTGTCCCAGAGATCACACCCGCAGTGCAGGTTTTGTGCAGTCTGCAGGGGAGAGCAACCTCAGAGGCGGGGTGGGAAGGGATGCGGCGCAGGGAGCAGAACCCAGAGCGGGCAGGCCTGGCTCAACGGGCCGTCCCAAAAGCCAGGAACAGACTCGGGAGAGGCTTCAGAGCGAGTGTGTGTGCGCGTGGGGGATGAAGACGCAGGGCCTGAGCGGCCGCTGAAGCCACAAACACGAAGGAAAGAAGCAGAGACTCAGGGCCTCTCTCCTGCTGCCCCACTGAACAGCCCCAGCCGGGCCATGCCCTCCGCACCACCTGCCGCTCTAACCAGCCGCACCGGGGAAGCGCTGTCTCCCCAGCCCCTCGAGCTCCGCAGTCCAGTGAGCCCAGACCTAAAGTCATCGGCCCGAAGAACAGTTTTTCTCAGGGGGCTGACGACCTGGGCTCTAGGGCTTTAAGAACAGGGCCACACAGGCGATTTCCTACCCCTGCCACCACCTAATGTCCTCCTCTGCATGCACATCAGACTGTGGTCATGCATGAACTGGGGCTCCTTCCGGGTGCTGAAAAGGACTAAGAAAATACTTCTCAGTGTAAGACCCAAATCACCACTCGGCTGGCACAGTGGTCTGATTTTAAAATTGACCTAACATTTGAAAACGACATAAAAATCCTGCGTTGGGGTTTTTCAGAAGATTGGGACACAGGCCGTGCTGGGCTCAAGGCTCTGCAGGGCAGCCCTGGGCCACCGCTGTCCGTGGAGCAGAGACAAGCCCCCCTCCGGAAGAGAGGCCCAGAAGCCAGGGATGGGGACAGACACCCAGACCACGGGACCAGCTCTGGCACTCAGCTGAGCCCTTCCGGCAAGCACCTCCCGCCCCCACGGAGCGCGGTAAGCCCCTGCTCAGAGCACGTGCGGAGAGCTGGCCACATGTGACAGAGCTCCACGTCTAAGCCTCCTCTCGGCTCCTGTCGGGGGACTGAGGCCTCCGAGCCTGAGCGTGGGACCTTCGGCGAACAAATGCTGGGTCGGCCACGCCGGTGGAGCCCACACGGGGACATCACGCATTCACACATTCATTCCTTCAGCACGCTCACGAAGGACCCGCTCAGAGGTGGCCGGAAAGTGTCCCCCCTCACCGCTCTCCGAAGTGTATCTCAGGTCCTGAAGCGCGGCCACGGCTGCCTGCGTGCCCTGAACATCCTCTTCGGCTTCCGTGATGTGCACGTACTGGGTGGAGGGCTCCTCAGGCGTTTCTGTGGCCGGCTAAACAAAAACACACCATCTGAGTGACCTTCTAGAAGACCACCCGTCACCGCAAGTCCCAGGATAACGTACGGAGACAGACAAATGCACACAAGCACCCTCTGCAACAGCTCGTTTACCTGGCATCCCTGAGACATCAGCTGCTCCCATAAAAACACACTTTCCCAAATGGAAACTACTTTTTGCAAATACTGAGATGTTTTCAAAGCAGCTCTGGTAGAAAGCTTCCTGCCACGATCTTCCTCAGGGACCAGAGTGTGCAGTCCGTAATTAGGGATTAGACACGCACAGAGATTCCTGCATGTGCTCTTCTAATGGCTGCTGTCCCCTCCCACCACTGCCCACACTGTCCTTATGGGCCCCAGGGCTGGGGCTGCTTGGTGGGGTCCACGGCACAGCTGCAGGTGGAGGGAGAAGGGCGGGCGACTACATCGCCCATGTCAAGTTTGTGGCACACGTCCCGCACGGAGTAAGAGCTCAGTCAACCTTGGCTACTCCAGCCCTTCTTATTTTTATACAAAGGAGATGATAAACAAAGGACCACAGGAAACATATCTGCAAAATCAGGAGCTATGAAGGGAGGAAGGGCTGGAGACATTCTCGGGTGCCTCGTACCTCAGGAGAAAAGAGGTGGGACAGAACTCAGCATGTCACGGAAGCCCAGCATGAATACTGCCCTCTTTCTGGAAGGGACGGGGAGTTGGGGGGGGACTAGAGGCAGGAAACAGGAACATCACCAATAAAGAATAGGAAGGAGGACTTGACACAAAATTTACAGGTGCCGAAGTGACGCCCTGTAAGTACCTATCGGTAATGGACACAGTTCCGAACGCCATGTAATTCTTCCCTTACGGCCAAGGGGCCAAGCGCCTTTCAAGATTCCCAGCCTGACACCTAGTAGACACCCAACAAAAAGGTGATGAATGCATAAATGAACAACAACAAACCCTACTTCCTTGTAAGTACCATTAAGCCACAAATTGCCCAACACTGACTGGGCCCCAGGAACGTGAGCCTCTGAGAAGCGGCACGCACAGAAAGGCTTCTTTCCCGCGGGGGGCCTCTGTAATGGTCACATGTTGGGAGGATGGGCTGTGCAAGGCATTCTGGGGAGCCAGACGACAGCCCGACTGCTGGAGGAGGCAGCCTGTCCCCCACAGGTGACCAAGCGCCTGAGCCCAGCTGCTCGGCTGCTCAGCTCTCTTGCTTCTGGAGTCGAGTACATGGCTTTGCAAGTACTGCTTTCACTGGGTTCGAAGCTCTCCTCCTCAACGCGCGGGGATCCGCAGGAAGCGAGGCCTTCAGAGCAGAGGGTGCGCCACACACACTTACGAAAGCACTGACTGACCGAGAGACGCGGGATGTTAGGTCAGGAGCCGGCTCTGTGATGTCCATTTGTTAATAGAAAGCAAACCCTTGCAGTATGAACTTGGACACCAGAGGACTCTGTTTTCCCTTAGATGAGGAGGTGACATTGATGTCACCTTCTCCACCACCAATAATCATAGCTGGTGCCAGACACTGGGGGTTCTGGGCACCTACCAGGGACTGGCTATGGACCTCGGCAATTTGATATCCTGTCTTGTGGGTATTATTAGCCTCACCGTGTGGGTCAGAAGGCGGAGAACACAGAGGTCACAGAGATAATGGTTCCCAGTCAAGCCATTCACACAGGACAGCACTAGGATTCAGTCTGTCAAACTCTAATGCGCGTACTTCCTTCATTTTCTTAGAGAAAATTTCCAGCACACACAACAGGGGGATGATCCCTCCATGTACACATCACCCAACTTGAGTAACTATCAATTCGTGACCAGCCTTATTTCCCCTCTGCCCCCCGACACACTCCGCACCCTGCCCTTGGGATACTGTGAGGCAAATGCAAGTCACGGCATCTTCTCTTTATTCTAGAAGGTTTCTCCGAGAGATAGAGCCCTTGCAAAACTCAAGCACAACAACACCGTGACATCAAACACCGAGCAGTAAGTCCTTCATGAGACCACCCACCGGGCCATGTCCTTGTCCCTCCAGTATCTTATTTCCCATTAACTGACCCTTCAAATCAAATTTAAGTCATTGAACCCAGGTATTAGAACTGACATGTCTCATAAGACTTCTATTTACAGGCTCTCCCTCTGATCGGACTCCGACCAACCCCCCCAGCCCGACTTATAGTTCTTGGCAGAGTTTCCAATGGTCTGAACTTGGCTGACGGCACCGCTATGAACCACTGACTGTCCACTGCGTCTCCTGCAAGTTGGTAGATGTAATCAGATACTGGTTCCCTTTTTGGCAAGAACGCTTCAGTTATATGGTCTACTCTAACAGGAGACACAGGATGTCTGGGTGTCTTCCTTATTTCTCTGCCATCGGCAGGTTAAGGGGTGGCCACTGCTGGATCCATGACACCATGGGGGGCTTGCAAATGGTCATACTGTAGATCTTCATTCGTTAGCTGGAAAATGTCTATAAACAGAAGCTTCTCCTCACCGAATATTTGGTTATACTGAGGTACGGTTTGTTTTTAGGAAAGGTACTATTTGACTCTTGGCCTTTTTTTACCAAAACAGAGTTGATGCCCTAATACCCTACAAAGGTGGCTGAGTTCTGCCCCTCCCACCCCCCAGCAGAAACCCACGGACTGAAATAATCCTGCTGTGCTTCACTGAGCTTACTGAACTGAGCAACAGCCTTGGGGGGTACACCTCAGAGCCCCTCCCCCCCCAGCCCTGCCAGCCCCACAACAACCGACGACAGTCCAGATCTCTGCAGTTCTCCCTGCCCTTAGCTCATACCCAACTCCGGAGGGGCAAACTCCGATCTTCAAGTCTGTGGGAACTCTGCGTAGCTAGGCCAGCATTTTGATAAACAGTTAGCACCACTTATTTCGCTCTCCTCTCAATTTTCAGGGCTTGCATTTTTTTTTAAAGATTTTATTTATTTATTTGACAGACAGAGATCACAAGTAGGCAGAGAGGCAGGCAGAGAGAGAGGAAGGGAAGCGGGCTCCCTGCTGAGCAGAGAGCCCGATGCGGGACTCGATCCCAGGACCCTGAGATCATGACCTGAGCCGAAGGCAGCGGCTTAACTCACTGAGCCACCCAGGCGCCCTAGGGCTTGCGTTTTTTAAACTTTAGTGTTTTCTTTAGTATCATATGAAATATATGTGTGGTTTCAGAATCAAATCTGCACAACCACGAAGAGATCCTGGCTTGTCTCTTTATACCCCCCATCTTGGTGTGGCCCCACCTCTCCTCATGAAACGCTCCTGTCTTTCGTAGGACTATTTTATTTTGAAATATTTTTCGAATTACAGCAGAGTTGCACAGATAAAACCGAGAGTTCCTACACACCCTTGACCCAACCTCCCCTCACGGTAACACCTGACGCGACCGGGGTACGATTATCAAAACCCAGAATTAATGCTGGAACCACTGACTTGACCCAGATTTAACAGCTTTCTCCACAGTGTCCCTTTTCTGTTCCAGGACCCAGGGCTGGATCCAGGGACTCCGTCACCAAGTCGCCATGGTCTCCTCCCACCAGGGACAGCTCCTCTGGCTTTCCTGGCCTTTTGTGAGCGTGATACTCTGAGGAGTCCTGGTAAGGTATCTAACCACACATCATTCACATACATCTGACGGAGCAGACAGAGATTGAGGCCTTTCTGAAGAATACCATGAGGGGGAAGGAGCGTGCCCCTCTCCTCATCACGTCAGGCGGCACAGGGCACCATGACGTATTACCAGGGACGCTAACCTCCGGCTACACAGTTAGCGTGGGTCGGCCCGATGCCTCTCCCACACAGTGATTACTTTCCCTCTGTGATCCAGTGAGGATCTGCGGGGAGAGATTTTGAGCTATGTAAATATTCTGTTTCTCCTTATATTCTAATTTCAGCTCCCACCGATGGATTTGCCTGCAGCCATGATTACTATGGTGCTTTAATGCGAATTCTCTATTTCCCTCATTCCTCCCATGTATATCCCTCAGCATTCTTCTGTGTGCAAGATCTGTTCCTTCCCCACCATTCATTCTAGTACAGAGTCACTGATATTTATTTTATTCTTTGAGTTGTAGTACAACACTATCATTATTGGTTTTTTTATTTTTTAAAGATTTTATTTATTTATTGGAGAGAAAGCACGCCCAAGCAGGGGGAGGAGCAGAGGGAGGAGAAGCAGGCTCCCCACTGAACAGGGAGCCCTACTCAAGGCTCGAACACAGGACCCTGCGATCATGACCTGAACCCAAGGCAGATGCTTAACCAATGGAGCCACCCAAGCGCGCTGATCATTCTTTATTTAGGTATTTAAATTGTTCTGGGTCTGGCCATTAGGAACTTTTTGGGTTGTGTCTTGTGTCCTTTTGATACACCTCCATCTTTCGGGGGGTTGTTGGGGGAGAAGCATGTTGTTTCTTTCCAGGACTATAAAATACCGTAGGATCATCTTACAAACTTTCTGCCAGAGCCCTGGAATTAATCACTTTCCAAAGGACCCCAGAGTTACTTTTACTGGAGAATCCTATTAGAGACCGAGATCTGGGAAACAGGCGTGCTCACAGCCACTGAGTGTCACTGCTTCGGGCTCTCAGCACAAAAGGCTGAGAAACACAGGTACACGGACTGTGTACAGGCACACAAGCAATCGTTCCTCTATGTAAAACCATAATACATAATCGGGCTGTGATAAATAGCATAGTGCAGGCACCTTCTCTCCTGTGAGCGTTACTTTAGGGTACTTTTCTAGCGAGGGGACTGTTTAGTTAACGGATGAAGAAGTGCACCAGTAATTTTACTAGATGCTGCTAAATGCCCCCTCGTAGCGGTAGTAACATTCTGAATTTCCACCTGCAGCGCATGTGAGTGCATTTTCCTCTCAGCTTCTCCAACAGAGAGGACGTCCAATTCTGGATTCTGATAGGTAAGAAGTTCTCTCTCTCTCTAGTTTCCATCAACATGTGCTACGTGTCAGGCTGATCATGTCTTCACGTATTCGAAGTCACCTACATTTCTCTTCTAGGAACCTTTCTGATCTCTTGCCCATTTTCCTATGGGGTTGTTGATCGCTATTTTTTACAAGACTTCTGTAATGTCAAGATACTTATCCTTCTTCTACCATAGGACCACAAGTATTTTGCTGTCATTTGTCTCTTGAGCTTGTTTATGAGCTCTTTTCCACAAGACTTTTTAAAATTTTTTCTTGTGGTCAATTGTTCTCAATCTTTCTCCTTCCTCAATCTGGATTCTGAGTCATATAGTTATACAAAATCATACACTGATTTTAGAAATGAATTCATTCACTAGGGTTTTTCTTCTGGTATTCCTAAAATGTCACTGTTTTTACATTTAAATCTCTGATCTTTTTGCTCTTGCCTCTCTCTACACATACAAGCTGCTCATTATTTTACGTTTGTTTCAACCCGTTGCTTATCATGCTAGTAGTTTTTCATTCCTTCTACTGGATTTGCCAAGAATAGAATCCTGCCATCTTCACACAGATACCTTATTTCTTTCCCTTCCAATTCTTTTTTTATTTTTCAAGATTTTATTTATTTGTTGGACAGAGGGAGAGAGAGAGCACAAGCAGGTAGAGCAGCGGAGGAAGAGGGACGCAGAGAGCCCGATGCAGGGCTCGATCCCAGGGCCCTGTAATCATGACCTGAGTTGAAAGCAGTCGCTTCACCGACTGAGCCACTCAGGCGCCCCCTTCCCTTCTAATCCTTAATGTCACTATTACTCTGCCTGACGCCCCTCCCAAGTGATGTTCGAGAGCAGAGCTCCTGTTGCATCCTCGGCTTGTTCCCGACTCACCAAGACACCCAGGGCCCCCGAGCCCCATGTAAGATCCTGGTTTTGAGGCCGAGATGCATGGATGCATTTTTCCATCTCAAGGGTATATTCACCCAGCTGTACCTTACTGTTTTTAATCACCAGATGCTTAAGTTTGTCGAGTGCCTTTTCTGAATGTGTGAAGATAATCATTTCTTTTTCCTCCCTAGTTCTAGTATGATGATGGATTATATCAAAATACTCCCTCCTACTGAGCCACCCTTTCTTTGCATTCTGGAATCATCCTCACACTGTCATGATGTATTAGTTTTTTCATGTGTTCTGGGATTTTTTCTAAGCCCTTACTCTTAATCAGCATACTCTTAATTACCGTATGCTGATGCTCTAGAAGGTGCCTGGATAAATGGTTCTCATTTGTGGGTGATTTGGACTTCTGGAGACATCAGCAACATCCGTGCATTTCTGGTTGTCACAACTGGGGGTCCCACTGATATTGGGGTGGGGATTTGGGGGGTCGATGACGCTACTAAACATCCTAAAATGCACCAAACAGCCCCTACAACAGGTTATCACGTCCAAGATCGTAACGTTAGCAGTGCTGTTTGTGAAACCCCACCTCACGTAAGCTACAATTCGTCCGTGGTGGGGACACTTGGTGCTTGGAAAGAGAGACAGCTACTGGCTTTGATCATACAGATATGTTCTAGCCAGGGGACTGGTTCTAACACCCTAGGGTAAAACAAAGATGGCAGGGGGGAGTGCATGCCTTCAGCAGCAGGACAGGAGGGCCTAGAATCAGAAGACAAAGCCCTTCCCGGTTCTTCTGGTGAAGACTTACAACATGCCCGTTGCCTTACATCCTTCCCTCGGATGCAACAGCTGAAACTCTGGAATCGTGACTCACAGAAGTGCAAATGCCAGGGAGAGACCAATACAGACATTCTCAGTTCAACTCAGGGTAAGAATTCGCAGGCATAGCCCTGGTCTCAGCCCTCCCACAGGAGACGGGCTTTGGGAAGATCTCCTAGTTTCCCAACCAGAAATCCCAATTCTCTGAGGAGCCGCTATTTGTGCCCAGGATCCGGGACTGCCCGGTCTGTCATTTGTACCTGGAAAGGTCCAGATCAACACCGTGCTTTAGAAACTTACCTCCCACTTGGGGTCTCCTTCATTTTCCACCAACTTCAGGCCATGCTTGTTCTTCAGGTGTCTGTTGAACTCCCATTTGGTACCGTAGACAAAGCTGCACACAGGACACTTCAAACCACCTGAAGGCACAGAGGAAAAAGGACAGGGAAGTGACTGTGGCCCCGGGCTCCCCACCATCCAAATACCTCAAGTCCTGGGGAAAGCACAACGCTGTCTGCAGCCCTCACCTCGGTCCAGCCTCCCTCCGTGACAGAACACAGCAGCAACAGCAGGGATGTGTCTCAGGACAAAGATTTTAAAGCTTAATGATTTTCTTTCCATTTCTGAACGAGCATTTGCAGAGAGTCTAATGTACGTGACATTCCAGGTGTGGTGGTGACAGAATTCCCGTGGCCACGTGAATACATGGCCTTAATCATTCCTTCATTTTTTTTCATTTGAAAAGAGCAAACAACTCAATGCCAGGCTGCTTTTCTCAATCATCTTTGTCCCAAAATACTAAGACCAAGAGGCAGACTCTCCGTCTCCTTCACATCAAAAGCTGAGCTGTTTGTATAAATTCCCATTGGGATTTCCCCATAAAGGGCAGATTAAGAAGTTGGACACATCCTGAAATGTCACTATTTATCGAGCTGATTATGTTTTATACATGTTCTGGGAGGTGTTTGGATGTAAGAGCACGTAAAACTCCAGATTAAAAACAAACAAACAAAAAAAAAAAAAAAAAAAGAAAGAAAAAGAAAAAAACCTGAGAATCACACAAAAGATTATCTTTCTAAAATCCTATCAGGAACAGCAACTAATGAGTGACTGGACAAAATTCACTTTACTGGGCTGTGAGTTCGGAATCAACCTCCAACCGCCGGGGGAGGCGTCCTGGCCGCGGACCTCCAAACCCACACAGACCATCAGCCGCCACCGTGAGGCCTCCACCCTGCGCCGGGCAGGGGGGCCACATGGGGAGCACAACTGGTCTCCCTGCGGCCACTGCTGGTCTACTCGCCACCCACCGCACAGACGGGGCTTCAAAAAACACAAACCAGAGGCGCCTGCATGGCTCAGCTGGTTGAGCCTCCGACTCTTGATTTCAGCTCAGGTCACCATCTCATGGTCCCGGCAGCGAGCCCCGCGACAGGCTCCGCGCTTGGCGGGAGTCTACTTGAGATTCTCTCTCCCTCTCCCTCCGCCCCCACCCCCTTCTCTCAAATAAAATAAGTCAATAAATCAATAAAATAAAGACACGAATTGAATCACATCTCTCACAGGTGTAAAACCCTCCAATGGCTTCCCATCAGACCCAGAATAAAATCTCAGCTCTCTGCTGTGGCTCGTGTGACCTACTATCACCCCTGTGTGACCTCGTACCCACCTGCTCCCCACCCTTCCCCCACCTCTGGCACTGACCATGCTCATTCCCTTCTCAGCATGCCTGGTGTTGGGGGGTCTGCACCCTGTCTTTCTGCTGCCTCTGCCCCCCTCTCAGACCTGCTGTGCTCTCCTGTGTCCGCCCAGGGCCCGAGATTGCTCACTGGGGCACTAAGGAGAGGGAGTAGAGGAATTCTGTCCTGATGATGAGGTTGTCTTGACAAATTAGATAACCACAGGCACACTTCATGGGGATGCCTAACACACTGTAAGCATGTCCCAGAGCAAGCAGCATGTGTGTGATCTCCTGACTCAGTTCCACGTGAGCGGCATCTGACAGTGCACGGCTCTGTAGGCGGGGTTTCCTGTCTGTCACCCGGGGTGCTGAGTGACTCCCCAAACAGTCATGAGCAGAAAAGGAAGCCAACCTAGAAGGATAACAGGGCATCCCCTCACACCTTCAGCTCACTGTTTCACAGCCTCGCCATGCTAGCAGGGCGCAGGAGAGCATGGCGGGTCCGACAGAGACAAGGACAGAATCCGCAGAAAGACTGGCAACACCATAAATTGCCAGAACATTCCATAGAGGAGGCAGCTCAAACGGATGCTTATTTTCTGAAACTTACACACTCTGCATTCTTTTTTTAGGCCAAATCAAATGGGCTTGTTCTTTCCCGCCTAGACGATAATTAAACGTAGTTTTTAGCTTCCTTTATTATCACTTATCAATCATCAAAAATGATGTATTTTCCTCTGATCATCTTTTAAAACTCTCCAAGGTGTGAAAACCTCTGCCTTCTCATTTGGTTCAACTGACGTAGCTCTTCCTGTAACGACTTAACAAGAGGCAGTGAAATTAAAGACTCCTTCTGCGGGACTCTTTAATGGAAACTAATTTAAGGAGAAAAACATCCTTATATTCTGTTTAAATTAAAATTAATATGATAATGCCCCACATTAATTAAAACTTCAACCTTTGCCACATGGCCTTTAATTAAAGAACACATTGGAAATACGTAATCTAGACTAAATGCAGAACTATGCATTTAATTGACACCAAAGCTAGAAAAATTAATTTCTAATTCAATTCATTACACTCTCAGGCAATGCACAATAGAGGTCATGGGAAGACTTGGTGCATTACTCGTGGCACTGATATAAAGCACACACTGTAAGAACCGCAAACCCCAGATCACACTTTCCTTGGAAGGCATGAGAAGCAGGCAAAGGCACAGAACTTTAGACACAATTTGAAAAATCAATCGTGGCATCTTTTTTGCTCTTTTTGGCATTAAAATATCTTTGGATCCTTTGTGGTGGGTGACCTTACTGAAAATCCAACTTCATTTCCAGTAACATAACTCCTGGAGCAGCACAGAGCACAGGGCTGGGCTATCAGATCCCAGAATCTGGACCCTGCTCCTGTGACCCACAAGCCACTTCCTAAAACCCTTAGGGCTTCGTTTTCTCTTGGGGGAAATGTTAAAGCTCATATCTTCAAAAAAAAAAAAAAAAAAGAAAGAAAGAAAGAAAGAAAGAAAAATAGGCACCCCAGGGGCACCTGGGTGGCTCTGACAGTTCAGCATCTATCTCAGGCTGGGGTCGTGATCTCAGAGTCCTGGGATAGAGCCACGCTTCAGCAAGGAGGTGGGGGGGGCGATGTCTCTGCTCAGCAGTGAGCCTACTTCTCCCCCCATCCCTCTCCTGCCTGTGTTCTGTCTCTCAGATAAATAAATAAAATCTTCCCAAAAAAGGTACTCCAGTAGGCAGAATAATGGACCCCCAAAGAGAGTCACATCCTGGAGAAAAGGGATCTCTCATGCACGGTTGGTGGGAATGTAAACTGGTGCAGCCACCGGGGCAAACAGTATGGACGTTCCTCAAAAAATACAACCATCATGATACAGCCATCCCACTGCCGAGTTTCTACCGAAAGGAAATGAAAACAGAACTTCGAAGCATTATCTGTATTCCCATGGTCGCTGCGATGTGATCCACAGTAGCCAGGTCTGGAACAACCTCAGTGTCCACCAACATGATGGACAAAGACACAGTGTGCACACACGTGTGCGGCAGACACACACACGCACACACAGGAATATTAGTAAGCCACGGAAAGGAAAGAAATCCTGACATTTTTGACAACATGGATGGACCTAGAGGGCATCTGCCCAGTGAAGTAAGTCAGGCACAGAGACAAATACTGCATGGTTATCACTAACACGGGACTCAAAAAAAGAAAGCTGAACTCACAGAAACAGAGTAGAACAGTGGTTGGCAGGAGCTGGAGGACAGGGGAGGTAGGGAGAGACTGGTAAAGAGTACACCCTTGTGGTTACAAGATGAGTAAGGTCTGAGGGTCTACGGTGAAACACAGTGACAATCGTTCATAACTGAAGTTCTCGAAAGGAGTATAACTTGAGGGGCACCTGGGTGGCTCAGTGGGTTAAAGCCTCTGCCTTCGGCTCAGGTCGTGATCCCAGGGTCCCGGGATCGAGTCCGAATCAGGCTCTCTGCTCAGCGAGGAGCCTGCTTCCCCCTCTCTCTCTACCTGCCTCTCTGCCTACTTGTGATCTCTCTGTCAAATGAATAAATAAAATCTTAAAAAAAAAAAAAAAAGAGTACAACTTAAAACATTCTCAACAACAGCGAGAGAGGATTAATGTGTGAGGTGACCAGTGTAGGAGCTGACTGGAGGATGAGAATCCTAAACTTCTTAGAGCTTTGTGAATGACATCTCAGTGACACCGGGCGGGGTGGGAGGTAGGAAGCAGTGGGGATCTGTTTGCAAACTGGACTGGGCTCTACTGAAAGAGCTGGGGATCCGGGCCCCCAGGAGCGGCCTGTCGGGAATGGAGTGGGCATGGATAAACAGTATGGGGGATTTTGTTATAATGAAAAGTAAACAAACATAGAAAAAGAGAAAATGTTGTTCTGATCCTGATCCCACAACAGGGGGGTGTTACCTCGCACCAAGAAGGGACTTGGCAGCTGGGACTGACCAAGGATCTGGAGATGGAGATTGTTCTGGATGGTCCAGGCAGGACTAGTGGAGTCGCAAGGGTCCTAACAAAGAGGAGGCAGAAGGCGGGTCACCGAGAAGCAACAGGAGGAAGACTCAGAGCCATGGCGGGCCATGAGGGTGGGGAAGGAAGGGACTCCAGGTAAGGCATGCAGGCAGCCTCTGGAAGCCGGACAAGGCAGGGGAACAGCGTCCCCTGGAGAGTCCGGAAGGAATACGGATCTGTCAGCAAACCTGACTTCGGCCTGTGAGACCTGTCTTGGACATGAGACCTTCAGAACTGTAGGATAATGAATCTGTGTGGTTTAAACCATCACGTCTCTGGTCATTTATTACAGCTGCAGTAAGAGACTCATACAGGCCCTAAAACACCACTGAACGAAGGAGCTCAATTATAAAGGAAAGCGGATTCAGAGCACTGCGATTACACAACATAAAGCAGTAAAATGTGGACTTGGACTTTGTGAACGTTCTCACTTCTTGTTGTCTTCATTCGGTGCCTGTCCTGGGACCCAGTCAGAGCCCCAGCTCAGAAGCAGGATCGTCGTTTTCGTCCTGTGCGAGCCCCAGGTGGAGGGCCCTGGTCACATGGCAGCTGTCAGACAGCCTCGGAACCTCTCTCAACCCCCAGATCTGCTTTTCAGGAGATCTTCAGGAAAACCAGTGTAAAGGAACAGAGCAGAGGAACGACAGAGTGCATCTTATTATCAGTCAGGCTGGGGTCCCCAAACC